TGTGAATACACACTCTTGACTGTGAATACACACTCTTGACTGTGAATGCACACTCCTGACTGTGAATGCACACTCTTGACTGTGAATGCACACTCTTGACTGTGAATGCACACTCTTGACTGTGAATGCACACTCTTGACTGTGAATGCACACTCTTGACTGTGAATGCACACTCTTGACTGTGAAGATACACTGTTGACTGTGAATATACACTCCTACCTGTGCCCAATCCCTGGCGGGCCGTCATCAGCCTTCAGTAATCATTGTCTGTGTGTTCAGGTGTTTTCACTGATTAGTTTGTTTGTGCTGTTTTTTTTTATACTTGTGTGGTCCAAATGCAAAGAACAAACAAGCATTTAACTAATATTTTCTTCAACAGATTAGAATGGTGGGAGCTGGACTTTAACTGTGACATGTAGGTCTACACACTGGGGACTGGCACTCCTTAAATTAGCTAGAAAAGTTACAAATACAACATAACTGATGATAAGCAGCTAACAGCTCAGTTGAAAATCTAAATGTTTGGAATGAAGGCACTGCTAGGGTGAAAGCAAACATTTAAAGTCATATTACCTCAAAAGTGACGTTAGAAAGCAAGCAAATGTGACAGAAAGACATAGATCAGTCTAAAGCAGAGAATCCACTCCCAGTCTGTGCAAAGGAAAGAGATAACCTGCTGATTAGTCAAGAGCAGTAAACATTGAGTCTTGGGGGAGGATGGTTATTACCATTATCATTGCTATAGTTCACCAGCATGCCACAAAAGACTGTCAAGAGCTTCTCATTTTCCGGATCAGTATTTTGGAAGAGAGATCTAATGAGTTCAGCTATTATTTGAGCCCCTCCTGCCAGGTGAACTGCACTCCTGCCCTCATCTGAAAAACAAAGAGGCCGGGACAAAAATCAAACACAAAGAAAAAAAGTCAGGCAAAATAAATACATTCTAAAAGAAATATATGAAAATAAACTTAAATTAAATATTGATACTTTACAAATCAGTGAAACTAATAAAAAGAACTAAACGGGGTAAACAGTCACAACACTGAATAAAACAAACTGAAAGAAAATTCAACACTGTACAAAAGTCTTAAAACTCCCAATTAAATTAACATAAGACAATATTTAGAGCTTCATCTTTTGCTTTTTTGTTACGTTGCAGCCTGGTGCTTGCATTGTTTTTTAATTACCCTATTCTCTGTACAGTATCATAATGACATGATGAAATAGAATATCACACCGTTTTGTAAATGTATTGAAATAAAAATCTGAAATGTTGAATTTCCATATATATTCAGACACGTTGCAATAGCACTACTAGTTTAGCTCAGGTGTTTCTCATTTCTCTTCCTTGCTGCAGTGTTTCTACTCCTCTATCAGTCTCCCTGGGTGAATACACTGATTGGACACCATTTAAAAAAGACGCTCTTCTCTATAGCAGGCCTCGTTGGCGTCTCCAGAGCAAAAACCAAACCACGAGGTTAAAGGAATTGCCTGCAGAGCTCAGAGATAGGACTGTTTTAAGACAAAGGTCTAGAGAAAGTTACAAAACCATTTTTCCTGTACTGAAGGATCTGAAGGTGGCCCCCTGAACGTGAACTCTCAGTGGCGATTTTAGTCTCTTTTTGGGGGTGCTCAAGCACCCTTGAAATTTTAAGAAACCGTCATTAGGATTTTGTAAGGAAGCTTAGTTCTCAGCTCTTAGATTCACTGAAATATTTGATAAATTTGAAATAAATATGGAATAAATGATAACACTCTTAAACGAACCAGTGAAATCTATGATATTTTTTGTACGAGTCGGATCCTCAATGCCACATGTCAATCAATCCAGTATGCTCATTAGCAATTGACCAGTTGGCAACCTCAATTTGTTCCAAAGATAAACAGCCCTTACCTGCAGGAGCTGCATCCACTTTTCTCCTTACAAATGCTTTGCAGTCAGAGGTTAATGGTTAAATTAAAGGTTAAAGCTAGTTGTGCTTTGTTTTGTGTGTTTTTATGTAGATATAGGTTGCAACTTCTGGTGGTATAAGTTTTATCTTTATTTGCTATGATCTTTTAAAAGACCTATTTGTGACTGAGTTCCTTGTTTTCGGCCATACCACCCTGAACACGCCCAATTTCATCTGAGTTTGGAAGCTAAGGAGGGTCGGGCCTCCTTAGTACATGGATGGGAGACCGCCTGGGAATACCAGGTACCGTACGTAAGCTTTTGCACTTCTCAGAAACCACACCATGGAGTGCCTTGTTCAAGCCAATAGCCATTGTCAGCACTGCTAAAGGTCAGATCCTAGAATTGCTCCTGTGAACTCTGTTAGTCTTGGATGGAATAAGTTTGGCAGAACCAGGAGCTGGTCTCCACACTGAACACTCGTAGGAAAAGGCTTTAGTGTGGAGGCCAAGACGTTGATGGTGATTATGACTTGAGCTTCAGAGATCTTTGAAGGGGAACCAGAACTGCAGATCTTCACCCATCTGGACTTTGTATCAGAGTTGCTTGATAAGCCTCAGAGTAAAGCTCTTGAAAGTCCACTTGAGGACTCTCGGGGTGTAAAGAATAACATTCTATCATCAGATGAAACGAAGACTGAACAGTTTGGTCTAAGAAATTTAAAATATGGAGAAAACCAGGAACTGCTCATCACCTGCTCAACATCATCCCCACAATGAAGCATAGTGATGAATACGCAATGAGAAAAAAGTGCAAAACCCTGCAGGACTGAATATTCATGTTTCTGTTCAGTTCAGGCTATCCATGAATGCTGACTCGCCATTGAATTTAGTGTAAAAGCAATAAAATAATAATTACTCATGGACTTCATTAACCCAGAATGTGTGAGGATGGACAGTACTTTACCAGGTCTAAGGCTACGTTCATACCACAGACCCACATCAGATTTTTTTGTCCCTATGTGACCCACATCGGCTATTTTCTTGACAGTTTCAACGTGACAAATCAAATTTGTTTAGTTGTTTGTTTTCAATTTCGACCCAGGTCTTCTTCATATGTGGTACTGAACCAGATCCATATCTGATGTTTTTCCAGGATGAGCGAATCTATCCCAAGTATTAATAATAATGATACCACCCTCATGCAGTTTAAATCTTGGAACTCTGCTCGTCTTCAGCTACAGAACAAAAGTCTAGTTGCTTCACCTTTGTTCTTTTAATTTCCATGTCCTGGATGGTTGAATCTACAGCAACAGACAACACCAAAGCTGGTGGCAGACCGTATCAAGAAGACCAACGTGACAGGATCAATGCTTGAGTTTGTTTCTACCTGCAGTACATTGCTTTTATTCCAGAAATACAACACTAGCTGGAGGAGCCATCAAGAGGCAAGAATAAATGTAAACACTGGACCAAACAAACTTGTCAGATAATAATTACATTGGTTCTGACTGAGCTGTTGCCTCTCAGTACCTATGTTTACGTGTGCAAAATTCTTTGACCGGATTGAAGTGTTTTCAGATTAAATAATTCAAATGTATCATTTACATGGGCAAAATCTGTTCACAACGAGCGTTTACATGCAGCGGGCTTTTATTCTGAATAGAAGTACTGACAAGTGCAGAGTGGTAAATAAACTCACTTAAAAAAAACACAGAAGAAGTTCTACTTCCAGTTTACTTCTGGGATGAACGTAAACAAACCTGAGCACCCACAATGGACCCGCGACAGGTTTTAATGATGGTGGAGACGTTACTGCACTCCCTGACTGAGCTACAGGTGATACAGATCATTTTGAGCTCTTTCAAAGTTTCTAGTAGAAATGTTGTCGCTCACTGACCAGTTTTAATTCCCCGACATATTAACATCTAGCCAGGTGGAAATATGTGAGGTAGACAGGTCGCACAGGCACAGTCAGGTCAGTGACCAAGTGTGGCGTTTACATGACGCATTTTTATTCCTAATGGCCGTTTAATCCAATTACTTATGTCCATGTAAACATAGCTAGTGAGAAGATTGCCGGTTCAAATCCCAGCCAGGGGCCATTCTGAGAGTTTGCATGTTCTCTCCATGCATGCGTGGGTTTTCTCCAGGTGCTCCAGTTTCCTCCCACAGACCAAAAACATGCATGTTAGACTGATTGGTAACTCTAAATTGTCCCTAGGTGTGAGTGAGAGAGTGAATAATAATAATAATAATAATAATTATAATAATAATAATTAATTTAATTTGTAACGCACTTTTCATTAACAAAAATCTCAAAGTGCTACAGAGTGCAACTAAAATCAATGATAAAATGGTTAATAATGAATGGTTGTTTGTCTCCATGTGTCCCCAGTGTTTCCACTGGATAACTCGTCATGGCAGGACACTCATTTAGTCTGTGATTTTTGTCGAGGATGGAGACGCGTCCTGAGATGTGCAGCACACTGTTTATACAGACAGTTTCAGAGTGTGTGTGTGGAGGGGGGGTTCAGAGTGAGGATTCAGCATGAGGGAAGAGGCTGCCCTTAGCTTTTTAGCTAGTGCACCTGTATTGCGAGCCACTAGCTTAGCATTATGTCAGTGGTGGTTTGTGTGTGAGTGTGTGTGTGTGGTAGTTAAGTAGACGGGGCGTTCGGTTCTGTTGACAGGGTGGGGCGCCCTGCTTGTGTAATGGTAGGGGAAACACTGGTCCCTGTGATGGACTGGAGACCTGTCCAGGGTGTTCTCCACCTCTCACACAGTGATAGCTGAACATGGGCACCAGTGACCCACGTGACCCGAATAGGAAGAAGCGTGTAAAGATAATGGATGGATCTGATTGAAGAACTTCAGAGCTGCGTGTGATGTCATGTTTTCTTCCTCTGAACTGTAACCAGTTCCAACTGGAGTCTGATGGAGGTCGCAATTTAATGATAATGTGAACGATAACAAAAAATAAATCAGATCTGAGCAACAAAACAAAATTAGAATAAAACATTAAGACCTACAGTGTGAACGCAGCCTAAGATCTAAACAGAGAGGTCAGAAAGTCTGTGTCTTACTGGAACAATACTGTTTGAGAAATTCTCTCATTCTTTGACATGTTTTGTCTAAAGAACCACTCTCACGGCAGGTGAAGATTTTAACGGGTATTTATATTTGCAAGGTCAGATTTCAGGACAGGTTAAATACGTAATCTATATAAACACACATCGATGTATACGCATGAAAACCAGACTAAGAAAAAAGTCACGAGCCGTTACCTGCTCGCCTTTACACTCCTCTCATTTCAGAGTCCAACAGAGTTCAGAGGTCGTTCTTGAAGCCAGCTGCAGTCTTCTTACAAAGCATTCTCTTTTTACGCAAGCATATGGTTCATGGGCAGAGATAAGACAGCGTATTGGGAGACGGTTCAGCTTGTCTTGGGCTTTTTGTTCTCAGAGCAGAGGGGGTGAGTGTTCTCAGCCATAATAAAAGCAGCCATAACCTTTGACCAAAAGTTCCCTGACAACTACCATTCTTTTTTATGTGTCCAGGCCTCATAAATAAAGCAAATTTACCACAGTCAGCTTGAGTAAAATAAGCATGAACTGAATATTACTGTCATGGCCTCGAAAACTGTTAAGCTGTCGATGCAAACAGCACGTGGCTGTATCTCCGTCCCCCCACCTTCTAAAACTGTCAGTATAAACAGCGCGCTGCACAGCTATCGCCCATGCAGTAATTATCAAACAGGAGGCTCGTACCTATTTGCTTAGTTAAATTCAGGTGGCAACTTTTTTTTGGCCAGGCAGTGTATATTACAGCTCTTATTATTCCATATTTTCTTAACCGAGCATTTCTCTGTCAGACTGCAGGCTTACTTGTGGTTCCTAGAGTTTCCAAAAACAGAATGGGAGGCAGAGCTTTCAGTTATCAGGCTCCTCTCTTGTGGAACCAACTTCTAGTTTCTGTCCATGAG